TGTGTTTTTGTAAGTTAAAAAAAATAGCAGTCTAGCATGGACATGGGAGTCTTAACATCTAAATGTATCATCTTGATAAAATAAGAAATCAAATTACATTAATTCTTTTGAAGGATGAAAATAAAAGACATGTATCTTCAAAATTTAAAATAAAACCAATCAAGTTATCTGGCATTTGCTGTTACATCCAAAACAAATAGCTCTAAGTCTGGATGAATGTGCAACTTGTTTCCTTTGTGTAGCGCTTCTGCCTGCAATTTCTAATTAACTAGCTCTATTCTCATCTACAACAGGAGACTGAAAGCATACAAGCCACAATATAGACTTCAACTAAATATATGTAGGTATGATTTTAAAAGGGAGATAACTAGTTAACAACATTTGCATGTAGCAAGGAGGCTCAATTGGTATAATAAATCAGAACTGCTTGCTTTTAGCCTGCTCCCTGCATAGCTGTGCTGTACTGAATACAATCTGTACATTAAAGATACCATGTTTGCTGTTAAAAATCTCCAGGGACCTTAGACCTATACATAAAGATACTTATTTTACTCTTTTCTGAGACACTGACCTGTATCCTCATTTAAAAATGAACACTCCATCTTTATGTTATTAAATCTTTGTTTTGATCTATTAGTATTCACCAAAGTGCCATTTTACACAACCCCACACTGAATAGGCAAGGCTGGAGGTAACCATCTGCAGCTTTAGAGGCTGCGTTTGAATTGATGAAAAGAGCTTTGTGTTTTCATTGCCAAGTTTGATTCTTCCAGTCATTAGACATTCCCCTCAGATCGCATCAATGAAGCGGACTCTCTTACACCCATGTGTTAAATTCTCTTCTCCTCATGGTTTCCTTTGCCAGCTATACTCCAGAAAGACTACTGGGTCTTAGCCACATTCTTCTCACAGCTGTGTTAAAAAAGAGCATCAGAGCGTCTTCCCAAAATCCATATGTGTATCTGGTCAGTCCCCTGTCGGAAGGTCACCTCGCATTGTGGTGTGATTATTCAAATATTCATTCTTGTTCTTGAACTGCACTGCTCCGATCATTCTGGGAGAGATTAGGCCCTCCAGTGAGTACTGGAGAATGTCCTGGACATCCATGTGAAATGCACACGGCTCCTGTACTGGCAGGGCAGATTAGCTTCACTTGTAGAAGAAGGGGACTCCAATCACTTAGTAAATGCTCAGCCCTAATTTTTTCATTTTTATACTCTGGCAAATGCTGGTAAGAACTGTTTCTGCTGTCTTACTGACAGATTTATCAGCATCAGCTAAAAAGCAGAACAATGTGAATAACTCTAATAACAGAGAAATCACGTTCAGAAATGCTAGAGGGAAACCCGGGACCACTCATATATGGGTGCATTCCAACAGCAATGAAAGCTAGGTGGCCATATGGCACACCTTAGGAGGTAAAGCAAATCAATTTTATTAAAGATTGTGGTTTTTTTTTGGTGAGAGGCAGTAATTTCTTTTACTAAAACCACCTGCCTATTTAGAACTCAGTTTATTTTTTTCTTGTATTAAAAATATTGATAAATTTTATCCAATCTGTAATTAACTTTCCTGAGCTCCTCCTTAAAAGGAAGAAAAAAACCCGACAGTTTCTTTAATAGTCAGTTATGGACAAAACAAGCAAGAATTTCTGCTTTATATTTTAGCACTGCACCGTTACTGCATGGTTGTGTATTTACTTTTAGAGGACTACATAGAAATTCTACATGCATACCCTCCACTGCCATCTCCTGCACACAGCTATATGAGCGTGCAAAGGCTGTGTTCACAGATGCAGAGCTGCACTTTCCTGAGCTAGAATCATTAAACTGTGAGAAAAAGAATAAAAGCCTCGATAGATAAATTGCATTAAAATTCACTCTAGCTGCAAAGCCATTGCAGAAAAATTTCCTGGAAAAAAAAAAATGCATCAAAAATGGCCTCAACCTTCAGTGATAATTGGCTCATATTGATTTGCTACTACACTGTGGCCTCCTCTGATCTTACTGACGCTGGTAGCCACTCCTCGATCCCAGAGAATCCAGTGGGAAGGGCAGTTTTAAAACACCTCTCTTCCCTTGCTGGCAGAGGCATTAATGAATTTGCCAGGTTTTATGGCCACCTTCTCCACCTTCTCCACCCACTGCTGAAGCTGCAGCAGCTGACTCCTGACTCCGGCAAGACGCACTTGCAAAGCTGTGGCACTGTGCCAGCGCTCCTGGGGGTCCTGTGCCTCTGTCCTTGTCCTTTGTAAACGTTAATGACACAGTGAAAATCAGAGTATAGCATCAGTTAAAAATCTTTAGAGTCCTGCAGATTTTTTGTAATTTCCAACTGAAAAAATATGTACTATGTTATGCGCACATAAACATGTATTTATTTACACACGCAGCACAATTCAAACGTGTATTTGATTTATAAACCAGAATAATACTTTCTTCAAAGTCTAATATATATCTTGTTAGTGTTTCAAAACCAAATACATTCAAACAAATGCTACTAAATCTGTGCAGACGCTCTCCAACCATCACTACTTTCTGTTTCATACCACCCCTGTCTGCTTCACAGGCAAGAGCACACATCCATCACACTGCTGCGAGCTGATGGGAGATGTTTACCCTTTTTCAGTGTCAACAGAATTTGACTACATCTAAGTTCACTACAAGCAGATTCCAGTATATTCCCCTTCTGGTTCCCAGCTGCTGTTTCATGTGGGACAGGATCCAGAAATTTTTTAGATGCTTTGTGTCCTGATCACAGAAAGCCCAGGACCACTATTCTGACTTGGATCTTGCACTTAGAAAGCAACAATTGCAAGTAAGTACACAAATTAATGAAATTAAGGACCGAGAATCAATTAGCAAAGACACAGTGAGCATTAATAAATTACAGGATACAAAGATACAAAGCACACCCTTTTTCGGCATTAATTACTCTAGTTATATTCTTTTTTAGGGAAGCTCATAATTATTTTACTTGTCTAATTTTCAACTGTAGTTATTACTTATTCAGATATTTTACTTATTAACACCGAGAAACTATTGTGTATAGTTGCTAAATGTGTGTCTCATGTCAGAATTAAATGTTACTTAGGCATTTACAAGAACAAGAAGTCAGCTAAACAGACATTTAAAAACCCTGCTTAGGTGATGAATTTTAGCATCACATTTCCAATTACAATAAGCATGCTCTTATGACTGCTAATAATTAATACCAGTGCAATTAATATCATGAAGCCTTTCAGCTGACAGGTTTATAAATGCTAGTTCCTTTTTGAAATGTAGAGCATCCTACATCTTGGAAATAAAAAGCTAACAAATGAGTTCCTGCCTAATTGCCAAACACTGATTTGTATGAAGCAGTTGAGGCTACAAAGGAATTGGGAATTCTCAGCCTGGTTTCCCTGCTGATGAGTAAGAACTGTCTGTGTAGTTCTCCCAGAGGTGTCAGAGGAATCTCTATAGTGTCACACAAGGGTTCTTAGCTCAAAGTAAACACACTTTCCACAAACTCAGCTGCTTAATCTGTTTGCAGGTTGAATTATAAGATGGGGGTGGATGACTCTGGGTGCTGGGAAGACGCACAGAGCATTTCCACAGTTTCTTGGTAAAAAGGGCATGCTATTGTCATCAAAAGACTTCACCCAATTGTTTAATTTTGCTATAGGCTCAGTGGCCTGATCTCAACAATAATGAAAACTAACCTGATCAAAAATTTCCCAAGTACTTGAGCATGTTAAATTGCATAAATTCTTTTCACTATAGCAGTGCATCAGTGCAACTTTAGTTCAGGTTGTGTCTGCACTCCTGCTCCATGCACTCTGGTTACACAGGATTTAATAAGACTTCTCCAAAACAAAAACAAAGCAAAAACCTTCACTTAAATGTAGATTGCCAGTAAGTATTTATAAATAAAAAGAAATGCAACAGCAACTTTAAAATTACACACTGCACAGAAAGGCACAACCACTACTCACTTTTAGGTGCTGTAGTTATTTTTCATAGGTTTATTTTCAGCAAGCACATTTAATGCATCTGTTGAAGTTTCAAATGCTTCTAAGTATTGATACTAAAGACCTGAATAATTCTCAGTCACAGGTTTTAAAGTGATGACTGAAAATAAGAATTTTCATATAAAAATTAATGAAAAATACTAATAGTAATTAATTTTTAGGTAGATAAAAATACACTAAAAATAATGATATAATTTGTATTTTTTAAAATAGGAGAACTCAGCATGATTTCTTACTTACTCAAGAAGAACTCTCATTAGGTCCCTGCAATATATTATCAGCCAATTCCTAGCTGCTCTTAAAATACACTGCAGACATGGAAGTTGAAGACAAATACAGACTGATGAGAAAATTTGCATCAGTTCAGCCTTGACAACCTTGGAAGGGTGTTTTGAGGCTAAGGAGTGGAATAAAGATAAGTGCCAGACTGTGAGGAGGCACTGCCTACACATTTTCCTGTTTCCAAGAAATCATTCTGTCAAAAACTTACTAGCAATAACTATCCTCACAATAACAACTTCAGTAGAAATGAACTTTGAGAATTACACATTGGGAAAGAGAATATCACCACTGCTCACCCATTCAGAGACTTCCTGCTGATTTCGGTGAGATTTTGAAGCCACTCCTAACCAAATCCATCACCATTTCCTGTTGAATGAATCCTTCCCCATATGTAACAGACAAGAAATCATGAGAGAGCCTTAAGATTCCACCATGCAGTTTTAAAGGTAAATGCTCTGTTGTCATAGGAGTGCCATGGGTGTAAATCAGTCAGTGGAAATGGAAACATTTTCCCTGTGCACTGCACATGCAGAAAGCAGTTTCTGTAACACAGGTGACAGGCATCCTAACTGCCACAGCACTGTTAAAATCATCAGCTTCGTTATGAGTAGCATCATACTTTCATTCAAGAAAAAATACGAGAAGAAACAATATTTTCTCTTGGTTTTCCATTACAGTTTCTCCTGAAAGAAGGCAAGTGACTTACTTCTGGACCTTCTCATTGGCCTCCTTCAAAGCCTCCAAGGCTTTCTGAAGCTTCAGCTTGGTGTCCTGATGTTCGGACTGAGCTTGCTGCAGCTGAGCTCCCAGGTCCTTAAGCTGGCCATAGGTAATGGTCACAATGTCCTCCCTGTCTTTCAGGCCACCTTCAGAAGTAATGAAAGCACAGCGAAGCCAGTCATTCAGGCTCACTCCTTGAGACAAAGGTTTGTGTAAACTGGGGAAACAAAAACATACACTTCCTTAGGTTTCAGCATAAGAATAGTATACTCAGTTTAATTAATATTATCACATATGAATCTAGATGCCAAATAAGTTCTGTTATGTATAAATTATATATGGATATTATCTATATATACTGAAGTAAGTTCTGCTTCAAAGGTGAAGTAAAACAAAAAGAACATTCGATTTCCACAAGGGTCTTCTAAATGTATGTAACAATTAGCAGATGTTTAAAAAGCAAAAAGGCTATTACACAAAAACTTAAAAAGTATTTTTCAGCTGCAACATCTTCCCAATCACTTCATGACCTACAGGAACAAGTTGTTACTGTGATTTACATAAAGTTGAATTAATCAGTGAATATTACTGCTGTGTTATTAACTCATGTTGCACAGCCCTTTCTTTTAGCAAGCAGACAGATCAACTACAGAGGGTTTATTTGAGAATTGCAGGTTTTTCAATATAATGAAAGGAATAAAAGTGCTACAATGTACAAACAAATAATTAAGATAGAAGGACTATTCAGAAATATGAATCATTTGTGAATGCTAACCAATGCTAAAGCTATCAATAACTAAAGATGATAAGCAAAAAGGATGTTGGACAGGCAGGTTACATGTAAGTCAAAAAAGAAGAATGAAGAAGACTGTGTACTGGAAAAAAAATTGGGAGCCTGTTAGATTGTGAATTATTTTCCAAGGAAGCAGCAGGTGCCCAACTGCCTGAGTTATTAAGGTACAATGGCAGAAATCATATTAATAACTGATTCCTAGTGAAGAAGCCTGCACCAGAAGGCTCTTTGTGGAACTGCCAGTGATTTTTTCCCTCCTCTTCATAGTTCCATTTTTATGATGAATCTCCCACCAGTGAAAATGATAATGGTAGTACAAGAAACTCATGGAGTTTCTTGTTCTTATAACAAAAGCAATGGCAGCAGGATATCATAATGAGCACTGTGTTTAGATAAATAATGTAAGTAATTTCAAAACAACTTTACAGACATCAGAAGCTGTTGCTGTATTGATGAGTATGACCTGATATCATCCTTTTGACTAATGACCATGCACACATCAAACGATATTTCTGTGTGAATTTCTAGTAGCCATGCAGACTAATTGCACTATTTGAGACATTCTGCATGTCAGCAGCTAGTATGCAATAGCATACTTTCTTCCTTCCCAAGGTGTTCGTACTGAAAACACCCTTCTTTCTGTCAATCCATAGATGAAAATCATATACAAACTAAAATATAATACACACAGACAAGCAAAATGTGAATAAGCTAATGGAAATCTAGAAGCTAAAAGGTCAGAGTGTTGGTATGTCATTACGTCTACTACCTGAGGTTGTCTGAAAATAAAGTGAAGAACCTTTTCAATTAAATGAAGACATATTGAAAATATAAATATTTATAAAGGGATATTAAAATCCCTAGAACAGCCTCACTAAAAATAAAATTACTTTTACAGTTGCACATAAAATTTATTGACTGAAGTTCTACTACAGTTGAGCACTGATCACCATGGAAAAATACAAAGATATGCAAATAATGCTGAAATCTGGGTAATGAAAAACCACTGATGTCCAGTTCTTAAACACCTGGTATAAGAACAAAATGAAAACAAACAAACAAACAAAAAAATCGCTGCGAGGGTAAACCATTCAGTGAATGGATCTCTCGTTCTCTCTCTCACACACACAAAAAAAAAAAAAAGAAAAAAGAAAAAAAAGAGAGAATCCAAACCTAAAAATCCTAACATTTTCACACCAAATGTGAGTTGTTTTTATTTTTTGGTTATTTTTTCCTCTTTCTAGAACATAGGAAAAAATAGAGCCTTTTATTTATATTCAAAATACTGTCTGTGTCTGACTACAACTGGGCCCCTTCTGAAAGACTGGCTTTGAGCAGTACAGCATGCATTACACAGTTACATGTTTTAACTTTTAATGTTTGCACCTGAGAGACCAATAGAGTTTGATACGTACATGATATACACATATTTTGTAAGCCAGTACGGCACCATGGTTGATAATCTTTTAAACCTTTTTTTCAAAAGCATAAACCTGTCAAATTTTCAAGAATATGTACTTTGCTAAAATGCTTTAGTCCTGGTTGATAATACTAATTTGAAATTCTTTCATTAATCTCCAGAGGATTATTTCTTCAAAAAACATTGATGTTATGAATCAAAAATAAATGAGATTTCTATGCCTGGGGGTGGTTTACAAAAGCATTCAAACAGTTACTTGATTTAAGTAATTCACATTTTGATTATACAAAACCTTTTTGCTTACTCTGATATAACTGTTCTTATTCAAGCTAGGTCTGAGAGCTTCAATTAATGGGCTGCCTTTTCTGTGTCCAGGAGGAAGAAGAAGTCAAATGTGATGCTGTCACTTACGCAACTCCAAAAGATAGCATGAGGTCCTCCCAAAGTCAGAGCAGTTTCAAGCCTGCTACAAATTGCACCAATTATAACTGTTCCCAAAGGGCCTTAATACTGGCTGAAAGTCAACGGCATGAAGTGCTGCTCTTAAAACACTTCTCTCTTTTTGCCAGGCATACTTTTGCTGCAAGGTGAGAAATGCTTTTCCACCTGAAGCAATTACTGAATAACACATAGAAACCTTCTATCTAAACGGAAAAAAAAAAAAGTAGAAACCAAGCATGCCCAATTTGTCCTCTCCTTCCTCCTCATCCCCAATGATAAACATCTCTAGTGTCCCCAAGCACACGCAGATCTATCTGTGGTGTTTTCACCACAAGTATTTCTGACACTCAGGTTCTGTAGACCCCTCAGCAGCCAGCCCGCACTCAGGTTGGCTTGGAAGAGGTCTATTCATTGTGCTGCAAGCTTTCAAGGGTTGGGCAGCATGGAAATCTGGGAAATACCACCTCTGAGGTACTCATGGGAAACAATGCAATAAGACAAGATTTAAGAAGTCTATAACATCTAGAAGGACTTTGACATTTTGCTGCAAGACAGGATATAAAATGATCAAGTTTGCATAACACATGAGTCAGGAGCCTGACAGCTGGTAGACAGGTAGCTAGATGGCATTGCCCTACCATAGACAAATATTTTATCAGCCTTCCTTCCTCTGCAATTAAAAGAGTTAAGAGTACTGTTTTCTCTCCACTATAACCACCTAAACATCTTTCACTAGCTTAATCGATGGCACCAGCTTTGTTAGCACAGACCATGTTGTGCACGTTATGTACAACGCAGACTGCATTTTGTGCATTCTTATGATCCATCACAGAGTGTCACTATTTTAACTCTAGCATGAGCTCAGGCATCCTCTTTATATTACGTTTTCCCATCAAACTCAAGAATAAGCACTTGTAGGACAGAGCCCACTACTGATGTTCTTCCCTGTGTTGGCTGTTGATATAACCTTAAGTTTTACAGGATAACATCTCAACAAATTACTACTGATCATGCTTGCCCATGCCACCAAAATTAACTGCTTGCTAATCTGGATCCTAGGAGAACAGTAGGCTGAGTTTTATCCTTCTCTGCTGAATTCATCAAGAGAAACCTGTGACCTGTACAACGGTCCAAATAATGGGGCTGCTGTATGATTGAAGTATGGGCTTGTTATCTGATGACCGCCCATCTTCGACCTTCCATTTTTTAACAAATACAAATCATTGTGCCTCCTTGGATCTCAATCTTTTCACCTTTCAGTAAGAGCAATTGCCTTAACTCGATGATCTGTGGAGGTCCCTTCCAACCCCTGCAATTCTGTGATTCATTGCTGAAAAGAGACTTGTCATTGTTGAAACTGAAGTCAGATGCAGCACAGTTTGAATTCAGGAAAAACTAAATCCAGCACAATTTGATTTTAGGAAAAGTTAAATCTTCTGAAGACATCAAGCAGCATTCTCTTTTGGATCTGATTTTCATTCTCCAGAACACCTCCAGTACCCACACCATTTCCAAGTGTAGACTAGTCTGCGAGAGGTAGCAAAGACCTAAGGCTCAAATGATTAAATAAGATGTCCTTCTCAAGCTTGAAGGATTGCTGAGACATGTTCTCAACAAGAAATAATTGGAAGCCATACTTTCATTATAAACCCTTCATTTATGTAGTTGCATGGTAATCAGAAATCAACTCATGCAGCCAATGGGCAAACTGCTCAGATAGCACTGACTCACATGCCAGCAATATGCACATGAGATCCAATATTACCTATTATTCCTCACATTTACTATAGTATTGAATGGTCCAGGAAACCCGTAAAAATAGCTTATGGGTGACTAATGCTTGGTTAAAACAGAATCCAAGCAAAACATCCATACATAAAGGGGTATCCATAAGCAGTAGAAAGCATTCTAAAGATTTTTGCAGACCTTCAGATAGATGCAAACCATAGTTACTAGCTTGTGTCCAAGAAATGCTCCCGAATTTCCTGAGCTCATGATGCTCTCTCGCAGCAGCACATGGAGCAGGGCCCTCTATTTTAGTGACAACTGTTGGTAATAGATGGACAGTTGGACTGTATGATCTTTTCCAACCTTGGTGATTCTATGATTATCTCTGATTGATTAATGAAAGTCTGGCAGTTGATAACTTAGCACTAGCTTTTTTCACACATACATCAAATCTCAAATAGAGTATATCTGAATTTACAGAAGAGACTTGGATATGTTCTATGCTTTAATCCTGAATATTACTTGATACATGTTAACATGAATTATACAACACCAAGATTTCACAATAAATCTGTATTAATTGCAAGACACATATCCACAGGCTATCATTTTTTTCCCCATGAATTAGGGGATTGTGTTTTCAACATAATAGCAGCAAACTACAATCTACATCAGTAGATACTCCTCAAAGTTTTATTCAGCTATATGTTATTCCTACAATCAGTCTCGCCATAAAATGCTCCTGTCATGTTTTGACAGTGAATTAGCTGCATTAGTACATTTTAGCCTTGCATTTACTGAGAGAGACTATTCATCTGTGAAGCCTAAGATCACT